AAGAATTAAGGGTTCGAAGACGCGTCACAATTATGTTAGAAATTGTCAAATGGTTTGTAAAATTTGATCGTCAAATAAAATATTTATTAAATAAATAATCACATGACTTTTATTAAAGGTTAAGCGAGAAAGGCAACGATACTTCCTCGCAATTTGATAAAATAATGTCAGATCTAGTCGAATTATGTATTAATGAAGTAAGCATCTGAAAAAAATCAACATATACATATATTACTTTCACATACTTATCTAAATGCTATTTAATTGAAAATTTAAAGGTAGTGGTGGGATCAAATATTTCATTAATCATAGTAAAGGCATTTGTAGAAGCCACGACGTGTATTATCCATACAATGCAACGAGTTAAACCAATACATGGCAAATTGTTTACATTTTTACCAATGTTTTTGTCTACTTTCGACATTATATCTGATGAGATTGAATTGCCTTCGGATAAATCATCTACTGGTACTTCTATGTCCGGCCCGGATTATAAAGATTATATATTAAATAAAATATGTTCTTATAAATGGCATGCGAGTAATGTTTTAAGTCTCATTGGAGAATTTAGAGACATAGTAATGACAAATGATCAGGTATATAGATATGATAGTATATTTTTATATTTGTATACTATTATTTTACCAATAACTTACTTATATTATTATGATAGCTGCAATTTATTGTGGCAAAAATTATGAGGTAATTGTTAATATTTTTGTAGTATGCTCATGTTATATTAATAAATTCGCGAAATATTAACATTATTTAAAAGGCAATTCGACTCGATGGATATGAATGGAATACCACCATTGATATATCAAATGCTTTTACTTTCACGAAAGGTATTTTGACCTCTAGCTTCTCAATATTTTATAAGAAAGTAACTTTAAATGCCTTGTTAATATATTTAATAGGGCCACAAGCGACTTATTTTACGAGGTATTTCTGAATACTTCAATAGCCTTGATGAAGAGGTTACAGATGATCAAGAATCAAAGTTTGTATTATCTTTAATTTTTCTTATTACAGAATTTTTCCAAATTATAATGAAAATTTATCATTTTTAGTTCAGACGATCGTGTCGCTTCTAGTGATTCACTATCATTTACGCAGCTTAGCCATATAGAAGGGACCGTAATAATTCACCTTTGTTTCGCTATCACTCAAGATCAGGTACAGATATACAATAACACTTACATATTGATGACTATATGTAAAGTTCAAACTTTGCTTTATTCAATAGGAATTAGGAAACGAATTCATGAAATATGTGAAAATGAGTAAAACTGCGTTATTCACCACATTTAATATATCCTGCTTATTATCGATAGCAAGGATACTTAGATTTAAGGATCAGGTACGAAAAATCATAAAGAAACGTTACATTGAACACTTACTTATACACTTTGAACCTCGTAGACCCTTGATTTTCTTAAATCTTCTATAATGTCTGCGTTCAAAGATCAAGAAAAACTTGAAAAGGCGAAATGGATGTCTCGTATGTTGAAGTAATTATCTCTTGGCATAGTTTAGCATATTTATTAACACTCATTGCTTTAATATTCCAAGATGTTGATAGTTCTAATATTATAGCCTCAGCGCCGATATCAGAGATATTTCACAAGATAATTCGAAAGACATCTTTTGGATGGGATCAAGTCACGCAAAGTTTAGTACATCTCGGAATATTTATATTAGATTCTGCGGTTCCATCAAGTCCATTTTGCAAAAGCGTTGGTAAGTGTGAAAGGTATTCGAAATTAAACATTAGGATTAGAACCATATAAACTTAATTGAAATTACTAAAAATTAACTATTTTACTCAGAAACTTTCAAGGTATTAAGTGGGCCACCAACAACTTCTAACGAAATGGCAGGTGATTTAGGCACGATTATTCTGTTCGAAATGTTTAAGGTAGTAGTCGAAACTATTGTTTAATAACATATAGGTTGGCGAGTTTTTATTTCTGACGCATATATTTCTTTAGATCCACGAGATGGTTCGTGTCGAAATACTTGAACAGATTCTTACCCGAGTCATTTCAAAGGCACCGAGTGCTGGGTACTTCCTGAATCTGCTTCAGCTAATTGTAAAAGAAACTCCACATTCACTACACAATCATCTTTCAAAAGTATTTAAAACCTATAATTATTTGTTATTTAGTAAATTCAAATTAACTCAAGAATATGTTTGATTTTAGATAAAAGGAACTCTAGATTATTTGACATTTCTGCCTACTAGTATTGCTGATATCTTTCTCAAAGCAATACAACCCATTATACTTGTAAATAAATCGTTTCGCGATGGGCTTATGTTGGTTTTACGGAAGGGAATGTCCACTAAGTAATAAACAACATTAATATTTTGTAGTTCAAGCTTATCTTTTAGTATATTGTGTTAAAAATCATTTACATTTGGGTAGGGATGTGGAAGGACGAAAAAATGCGTTAGCCGGATATTTGCAATTGCTGAGAATTACCACAATTAGAGATCCTGATTCACAGGCAACATCACAAATGCCATCGAGCTCTTCAAAATCTTTGAACAAACAAGATCAAAATTCACTCTTCTTTGAGATATTAAGTAACTGTTTGATATCTACAGTCTGCAATTGTACAAATTAATTTGATATAAACCAGTTGTAACTATATTTCATTATTTTTATCCCAGGAATCTTACGTAGATGTTTCAGTCAACAGCCACAGATACGACTATCATTATATCAAGGGTTGATTGATTTGATGGATGCAGAGCAAAATTTGAAACCTATTGTTTTTGATGTTTTATTTCCTCATGCAAGTTATTTCAGAATAGTATAAATTTGTTATTTAGGTTAAGAATTATCGAATTAATTATTAGTTTTACATATGCATATCTAGTTCCAACAATACTTTGAATTAGAAACTTCAATTCACGTGACAATTCTTTTAGATTCTTGTCTAAATTGTGTAGATGGTTCGACATTTATTATAGAACCTCTTCCGTATTTATTTTCTTGTATAAGCAAGTCGATTACGTCTTCCGGCCCAAACAATGAAAGTGGCAAAGGTATACATATCTATCAATAATAATTTTAATATGTAGATTTAGGATATCTTTAATAATTAAATTTAAATTTGACCTTAGACGACACGGCTTATGACAAAGGACAACTTCAGAAATGTAAAGACTTTATTCAACTCTTGATTGAGAGGCTACTTAAAGCCGACATGACAGAGTTCTCGATTGATCCAGCTTCCGACTTTAAAATGGCATGTAGCGAGGGAATGCGAAACAATTTGTCAGCGAACCTTTTACTTGGTTGTTATGAAGTATGTTTTTGGTTTATTCATTCATATAGGGTTAATTATTGATATGTATGAAGCCTCTCTGATATTTATTATTATGATAATAGGCCGCAATTGAATACATCTTTTTTTCTGAAGAACATACACTTGATTCATCGCAAAAGATTTTAACGTTATTCAAAAAGTATATGATTTTGTTTGAAGTCCTAAGGGAAAAATCTGTTAATGTTCGAGGTAATGACATTTAATGTTTATAATAAACTATACTTTTTGACGATTTCTACATTTTTATTCATATCTTAGGACGCAAATCATTAACCACAATGCCTGAAAGCACAATACTAAGCTTTAAGTGCATAGCTGAACTTATAAAATTCATTTTCAGCGATGATCTAAGTCACGCAACAGCGCTTTTAAGGACGGACACAGAATTTATGAAATATATAATTGCAGTGGCGTATAACACAATATCGCAAGTATTGTATCTTATTTATTCGATTCATTATGAGATTATCATAAGAAATAATAATGTTAATTAATGTCAATTGTATCCTGCAAGCATTCATCTTTTGATTCGGGTGATCATGCAAAATTTGAGCATTGCACATATTTGGCTCGTGTTTTCATGAATAAATTCATCAAAGACGATAAATGTTCAAATGTTATTCAAAATGATGATTCAAGAAAAGATAAGGTAGCATGATTATGGCTTGCCTTTTAATATTAATATATAATATATATATATATATATGGTTTACAATATCAATAATCATAGGGAAAGTCGAGTCTTTCTATTGCTTTAGAAAGCTTTATGCTTCTATGTCAGGCTGTATCAACAAGTTGGCCGGATAAACTAAAAGATTTTTTAGAGTTGTCTTACCAATCAGAGGAATCAGAGGAATTGAATGAGAGACGTCCTGATAATTTGGATAGTTGGCTTAGTTTGTATATTCAAGAATTTGAGGTAAGACTGCCTCATCCAAATTTATGTACAGTATTGACATCCTAGTCTTTATTAATTAATGTTCTTATCTATATATATTAGCGCCTTATAGTTTCGTCATTAAGCGAACGCACTCCACAAATTAATGAGGCATCATGGTCATGCAAAACAATATCACTATTGTCAACATATTACGTGAATAAGGGCAAAGATACCGATTCTGAGTTTCAGGGACACATTGAGCAATTAATTGAGTGGCTTAATACTCTTTGTAAAGAACGCGCCATTGAGGATACGGGGCTTGCTAAAATTATCGTCAATCTTTTACTTAAGTTAGAGCGCGATATGGCAGATTTTGATACTGTTGTGGAAATGGCACACGATATGTTTATTGTTTTAGGTCCTATTACTGGTCGACCTGAATCAAATGAAACGCAACCGCATAAATATATGATTGTTAATGCTCGAACCAGTGCAACAGTATGTGGCATTTTGATAGAGTTTTTGAATGCAATTTATGATGAAATGGAATGGTATTTGACTAAGTTAAGAGCGTTGTGTGGTGCCAGTGGTGTGTGTTCATTTAGTTATCAAATTATTGAATTCAATGTTATTTTTAACAATTGATTCAATAGCTTTGCCATGATTTTTTTATTCATTAGGTACTGATTCCGACGAAACACCAGAGTTTGAAGAAGTAGAACAAGAAATTTGCTTGAGGTTGATAAAACTTATGAATTCTTTGTTACACCTCGAGAAGACGTGTCTCCAATCTACTACTTCGGAAAATCTGCTCAAATGTTTACAGAGGGCATATAAAGTTCTGGTGGCATTAACCAGATATGTAAGTTAGCATTATAAATGAATCATCTCGTGCTTATTTACTTGTTTTATCTATTTTTTTTATTTAGTTATTTGATTTTTATTTTCTTACATTAATAGAAAACCGCTGAAGCAGGCGAAATCCAAGATCAATTTATTGACGTAATTAAATTAGCTGGAGGCGATTTGACAAATAATTTATATAATTTTCTTACTGCATTTGGTCAAGTAAAAAATAGTGCTTATCGACTGACAAGTAAAAAAGGAAAAACAAAATCTAAGCCGTTGGCACAAAAGGTAACGAAACCATTGATTACAAATTAATCTTATAGCAATATATTAAGTTTATTTCCACTGATACCATAGGCTAGAATTACTAAGGAATCCAAAATAATACCAGTATTGATTTTTATTTTGGAGCAATTCGAACGTTATATTATGCAATTGTCAAAGAAATCAAAGGTAAAATTTATATATATATATTATTGAAAAATATTTGAGTTTAACCATTTCTAAAAATATACAAAGACCGATTTGATGCATTATATCACAACAACTACATCACGAGACTTCAAGATAAAAATTGAAGAATTGGACGGGAATACTGACGATCAGCCAAAGAGAGTATCACAGGTTTGTAAACTAAATAATGCTGGTGAAACTGGTGACTATCTAAAATCTGATTGGTTGTTATATTAAATTTCACCAGTTACACCACCATTCACCAAGAGTTTCACCAGCATCTATAGTATTAACTTATAGACATAAAAGTTGTGTTTTTCTTGTTATAACTATCGATCTGACCTTTAACTTTTTGATATAGACTGCTGTCTCAAACGAGCAAGAAGATGATGAGGTGTGCGCAAGTATTAATTAATCAATTTATTAATACAGAATTTGTGAATGCTAAGTGATATTTTTTTTTTTAGGCCGAAGAAGGTGGTTCGGAGGATCATCGAAGGAAACGACGTTGTTCAGATTCATCAATGGAAGTTGATTAGTAGTTATAGAATATGTTCTTATACAGGGTTTCAAATACTGTAT